AGGAGGGGTGGAGGGGGATGGCCAAATTGAAGAGAAAGAGGGAGATAGAAGAAGGAGGAAGGTGGAGAAGGGAGAGGGAGATAGAGAGGGAAAGGAGGGGGGAGGGAGAGGAAAGGAAGAGGGGGAGGGGGAAATAGAGAGGGGGAAAGGAAAGGAGGGGAAGAAGAAGGATAGATGGGCTTCCAGGCTCTTTTACCTTCCTCTTCTGCTACTCAACTGCAGGGTTTCCATTTTACCTTTTTTCGTACGTCCATTTTCCTTTGTAGTCGAAGACAAATAATGATTTGAAATGCACATGGCCTGCTTGTCAAAATGCAGGGCATTGAAAGAATGTGACTCAAGAATTAGGAATATTTAGGAACTCCAGCATCAAGTCATTTATAAGAATGTGTGGTGAATGTGTCTATGAAACAATTCATAATGGAAGTTGGTAATGTGTTTATTTGCCCTCTTAATATGAAATTGTCACATGTTTCAAATAAAACACTCAGATACTGAAGGATAGGAGCCCCTGTGATAGTTTTTAAACTTTGGTCCTCCTATGTGTCTGGAGCAGTGTGCCTGGTTAAGCTTAGTCCCCCTCTTTGCCCCCACCCCCATGAACTTTCCAATTGATGTTTCTGTGAATTGAATCTCTCAGATCTGAATACCAAGTTCCACCATCCTTATTCCCAGTGATGGTTTGCAATGCAAATCATTGGCTTGGTAACAGGCAGTACCATAACCATGGTAACCAAATGAAAACAAGTTGCTTGACTTCCTCAGGAAAGTGCAACCCAGAGTTGTATTCAGACTTGGTGCCTCTGCCAACAGGTCAAAGGGCACTGAAGGAGCAGAAGGAGGTTTCATAGGAATGAAAACACAACAGAGCCATTGTATCATTTCCCACCCCTTTCTGAGCCCAGGATTTGTGACTAATAATTCCTGTCAGTTGTAATGACTTTCTCATTCCTTTTTCTCCTCCTAGAGAGACAGGTAGAGGGAATGAATCATTAAGTGTTTTTACCTTTAACTTGCCTATCACTTTCGGCAAGCAGATCCTCCTGGATTTTCATGATTAACTTTTAAATAAGAAGTTTTAAATAGAAACTTGGGTCACTTCTGTGGTCACCAGGATTTTCTAGCCTTGGCAATGTGAGACAGTACCAAGACCTCCTCCACAGATCTTTTTCAGAACAACTACAGCAAGCTACAAGGCCACTTCTCTGCCAAGACTCCTCTACTCTGGTACAGTAATTCTTATAATTTGCTTTGATCCCAGCCTGTGGGGAGGGGCTGACAGCCCTCTGCTCTCATTTTCGCTCAGTTGGAATGAAAGGGCAGCGATAGCTTGTTCCGAAACTCCTTTACCTGCAGCTGTGTGACTGGGTGACTCCTAGGAAGAAAAACCATTAGCAGTAAGGTGAAGTGAACTAATCATCACGGATACTGGCCTGAATGCCTTCAGTGCCTCCATGACTGCCTGGGTGTCTGCTGTTAACACAGAAAGGTCTAAAACCTGGGGTAAGCATGCTCCAGGCTCCAATTTACCAGGCTATGTCCCTTAGGGACTCAAGACGCTTTCCAGCAATGCATTTGAGGAGTGATGCAGCAATTCTTCCTTTGCTACCTCTTCTCATTTTGGGATCTTGATGTCTCTTTACTCCCTGAGAAAAACCTAATTAAGATAATGTTGTGTTTTCATTTATAACTAATCAATGAACTAAATATGAAGACTGAGTATGATGTACGTGTGTGTGTGTGTGCGTGTGTGTGTGTGTGTGTGTGTGTGTGTGTGTGTGTGTGTGTGTGAGACCTGCTCTGGAAGTGGAAATCTCCTTGACATTGTAGAGAAGACTCCTTCAGGAATTCAGTCACTCAGAATGTTCAATCACATTGGAATCATAAATACACAGCCTTTATTTGTTTATTAATTTGTTTGTTTGTTTCTATTATTTCTTTGGGTTAAGACTGTCCCAAATAATTCATGGGCCGCATATTTGTTGTAAGTTGTATGGTTTGGGGGTTTTTTGTTTGTTTTACTTTCCGTCTGAAATTCAAATGTGACTGGCCATTCTGTATTTTCAGTTGCTGAATCAGGCAACTTGAGTCAAGGATAAAAATCAAAGAAGTCTGTTAGGGAATAAAGGAATATGAACTTCTTGCTATAAACTTTTTACTGTAATTTCCCAATTTAAAATTACTCAGTTATCGTTGCCATAGTACAACATACATGGAAGAATTGAATTTAAAATGAGAAACAGTCATCAAAATAATCGTAACAAGTTCAGAGTTCAGTGACACTTGCTGTAATAGGCTGACATGGCTGTTTTCTTTTGTGTGTGCTGTTTTGATTGGTATTTTGTTATTTGTAGGTCTCCCAAGACCTCCATGGGGGAAGGAGGATATTTTTCAAACAGGATTATATCATTACAAGTTCTTCACCATTTAGACCATATATTCACTCTCTAAATATAAGCTTTTATCTCTAGCAAGGAGAAAGCTGTTGAGGAAAGGAAATAAACTCCATTTGGATATGTTCATTTTGAAGGTATAAATGCCAGAAGATCATTAGAAAATTGATCATAGGAATTGGAGAGATGGCTCAGTGGTTAAGAATACTGGTTCCTTTCACAGAGGACTTGGGTTTGATTCCCAGCACCCACATGGTGGCTAGCCACCATCTGTGGCTCCAGTTCCAGGAGATCTGATGCCTTCTGACCTCCACAGACACTGCATGACATGGGTGCACTTACACACATGCAGGCAATAATACACTCATACACATAAAATAAAATATTTTTTGTTTTTTTTTGTTTTTTAAATTATTTATTTAATAACCACATGATTAGAAGAAGCATTTCATTAGAGCATTAACATATTCAATAACAATTTCCAGAGTAAAGATGCACCTCTTTCAAAATTGGCTGTAAATTTTTAGCTTCACAGTTGAATTAACAGAGTTATATAATATTGAACTCAGAATAGACCCTATAAGAAATAAAATTTAATGAGGTTTTAACCTTTAAAAAAAGATCTCCATTTCATTTTAAAAGATACTGTTTCATATAAAAAACTAATTTTTTTTTGTTCTTTTTGAGACAGGGTCTCCCTGTAACCCCAGCTGTCCTGGAACTCACTAAGTAGACCAGGCTGGCCTTGAACTCACAGAGATCCATCTTCCTCTGCCTCCCAAGTGCTGGGATTAAAGGCATGTGCCACCAGGCCCAGCTGAAAAACTAATTTTTAATGCTACAACACTTAGATGTTTGCACGTGTCTCTAATCTCTATGTACCTGATTATTACTAGTCACAATCGGTTACTTTCTGAGATCCTTGGCACCAGAGCATGGATATAAAGTCATCGGGTAGATTTCATTGGTAATGTTTTTCACCTCTATTAACTAACATGAAGCAAATTTTTTATGCTTCTTCCACAAATGTAACTCATTTTCTAAGTTTGTTGAATTTTTGGGGGTGTATTTCATACAGAACATGCCATACAATCTTATTCATCTACATACCCACATCCCAAATGGCACCCTCTCATCACCTCCCCGCCCCCAACTGGAGCCCATATACTCTGTCATCTCTGTTACTGTTCACTGTGTTGTCGGCTTCCCCTGCCATTCCCCAGTGCTAATTCATCCACTGAGTCTAGTCAGCCTATCTAGAGTTCCTTGTTTTAGGAAGATCAGCTCTTCCTCATCTAGCAGAAATCAGTTGCCAATATTCCTTAGATAAGATCGGGGTCTGCTGTTCATTTTCCCAGTTTTATGTTGGGTTACTGTCTGGGAGTCTCTTGGGCCACCCTGGCCAAAAACTCAAAGGGAAGTATCTTCTGTCTGTCATTGTTTCTTGTTATATAGCCTTTAGCTATACACATGAACTCTTAAAGAATTATATTAATCACTTTAATCTTGGGTTATACATTCCTTTTGAGTGTTTAAGACCATACAGTTGGCTCCATAAATTTATTTTTACTCTTAAGGTCGTTTGAGGATCTGTTCCTCAGGGATCATATGGGCTTGGAAGGAGCCCCTGGTTCCTTTCTTTTACCAGTTCCATCTATGTGAAGATAAATCAAAAGTCCTGCTCAATCATCGCTGGCTTCACTTGGAAGCATGGAGGACATGGTTCCTCTGTGTTGACTCTCCTCTTTGTAGACTGGACACTGGTTCAAGTCCATTTGGTGGGGTCTCCATGGCCTCCTTGATCAAGAGGACAAGTGACTCACGACAGTTACAGGGCATTTTGAGAGATGTTCCATAGTCCCCTGGAACTTAGTCAACCTAGGAGGGCAAGGAGCAAAAACTGTCTTTTATGTTCCTCTCACCAAATTAGTATAGACCTCAAAGTATGTTAGTTAAACATCCAGTAAGGTTAGTTCCACCAGTCTGATACTTTTAATTACAATGTGCTATATAGATAAAGCTTGGGCAAAGACCAAAGGTCCTCCGATAAACCTTGCCTAGACATATATTATATTCCTTTAGCTAGTTGTATGTATAATTTGTCAGTAAGTTGTTTGATTAATATGGCTCCCTCTGGATTTTTTTTAAAACTAGATAGGCATTATCTATCTCTCACACTGTCTAACCCTTCTATCATGGTTTCCCCATTTAAAGTGCCCCATTCTCCTATTTTTCCCTTAATAATACCCTTCTCCTATGGTCCCACCACTCTTGAGCTCCTTCTTTCCCTTTATACCCAAGGTTCCTTATATAACCCTCCTTCCCGCTTCCCCTTAAAATAGCCCCATTTTTATCTATATCTCCATGATTAATGCCTGTTTCCTACTGTTCTCTTTCAGAGTCTTTCTTTTCCTTTACCTCCCTGGTTCCTTTTCATTATCCTGGTTCCTGTAGTTACATCTGGATACATACTTATTTATCAGAGTCTGGTTCTAGGATCCACATATGAGGGAGAACATGTCTTTTTTTTTTTTTTCTGAGTCTGTGTTACTTCACTTAGTATAACAGTTTCTGGTTCCATCCATTTACCTACAAATTTCATGATTTTATCATTCTTTACTGCTGAGTAAAACTCCTTCATATAAATTAACCACATTTTCATTATCCACGCATCAGTTGAGGGACACTTAGGTTGCTTCCATCTCTTAGCTATTGTGAAAAGTACAGGAACAAACATGGATTTACAAGTGTCTCTGCAATAGGATAAGTTCTTTGAATATATGCCAAAGAGCAGTATAACTAGATCAAATGGTAGGTTCATTTTTAGTTTTTTAAGGGTTCTCCACACTGCGTTCCATAGGGGTTGAACAAGTTTGCAATCCCACTAGCAGTGGATGAGCATTCCCCTTTCCCCACATCCTCTCCAAATTGGTATCATTTGATCTCTTGATCTTAGCCAGTCTGACTGGGGTAAGATGAAATCTTAAAGTGGTTTTAATTTTCATTTCCCTAATTACTAATGATGCTGAACACCTTTTAAGCTGCTTCTTAGTCATCTTTATTTCTTCTTTTGAGATCTCTCTGTTCAGTTCCTTAGCCCATCTTTTAATTGTGCTACTTCCTTTCTTGAGTCTTTGTTATTTGAGTTTGTTATATATTCAGGATGTTAAACCTCTGTCAGATGTGTTGCTGGTGAAGATTTTCTCCCATTCTGTGGGTTTTCTCTTCACTTCCTTGGTTGCTTCTTTTGATATACAGAAGCTTTTTAGTTTAATGGGGTCCCATTTGTTGATATATATATAGTCTTTTTTGGGACAGGGTCTCCTTGTAGCCCCAGTTGTCCTGGAACTCACTATGTAGACCAGGCTGGCCTCGAACTCACAAAGATCCACCTGCCTCTGCCTCCCAAGTGCTGGAATTAAAGATGTGCACCACCACGCCTGGCCTATTTGTTGATTTTTAACCTTGTTTCCTGAGCAATTGATGTCTGGTTTAGAAAATCCTTTCCTACGCCTATAACCTGTAGGTTGTTGCCAATGTTTTCTTTTAACAGTTTCAGAGTTCCAGGCTTCACATTGAGGTCTTTGATCCATTTGGGGTTGACTTTTGTGCTAGGTAAAAGATAAGGGTTTAATTTCATTCTTCTACAGGTGGAGATACAGTTTTTCCAGCACCATTTGCTGAACATGCTGTCTTTCCTCCAGTGAATGTTCTTGGCCCCTTTGTCAAATGTCAGGTGGCTGAAATTGCATGTACTCATAAGTGTGTCTTAATTTTCTTCCATTGATTTATGGGTCTATTTTTGTGCCAGTACCTTGTTGTTTTTATGACTAT